CAGAATTAAGAGTACTTTTACCCCCCCCCCCGGGGTCCTTCGGGGTTGGGCGGCAAATAAATTTTGATAATAAAAAAAATTTTGATAATAAAAAAAATTTTGATAATAAAAATTTAAGTAATGAGAAGCTAAGCAAAGCTGGATCTGAGCGCGAAAGCATTAGATATCAATACATGATTCATTCCCCTCCCCTTGGTAACCCCAGTCCATAGTCCAATCGTATATCTCCACAACTGTCAGGTGGGAGACATCTTCAAAAATCATCATCAGGTTGGTATGCCGGACAGTTGGCCTTGGCGGGAAACTCCCCTCCTTCCACATGCGCAAACGAATGGTGAGAACTCCTAATTAACAGTCCTCCTGTACAGAATATTTCCCTCATCCAAATACCATGCCCTCCCTCCCCGTTTCAATGGCAGCCAAAAAGCAAGCAGCAAAACAGAGGCTGACATCTCTCTTCTCTTTACCCATTTGCCTAGTTTTTTTCTTTTTCTTATTCTTAAAATTTCTATATTTTTTCTTTCCAATCTTTTTTCTCCTTTTGATTCTATTGTTTTAGTATCTCTCACCAGTTTCCCCCCCTTCTTTCCCCACTTATCCCACTTTTGCTATTTAATTTCCCTTTTGGGGGGCCACTTCCCCCTTGTCTCCTTTGGTATATAACTGTAATTCGCAGTACAATCATCTAAGTATTTTTCTATTTTAATCTCTTTTTCTTCTATAGTATCTTCTCATTTTTCATTTAGTCCATTTTCTTTCTCCTTTTCTCCCTCTCCTTGTTCTAGATATTCCCTCTGAGTTTCCACTGTTTTTTCCCATTTAGCGTTTCACATGCATTTTTAAACATAGCAAATAGTTCATTATAAATCCAAAATTCCATAGTATCTGCTTAATTAATTTAACGAATTGTTTAAACTTTTTCTGTTATATCATATTTACTTAAACTTAAAGTTCTTTTTTCCTTTCTTATTTCCAATTTCTAAAGTCCAATTCCACTTTTATTTTGCTTTTTCTCTTCCGCCAAAATAGTAAGTCCAATCCACAGCACTGTTACAAAAACAAATCCTCCTTGTTATTTCTCACCAAAGTGAGAATCTTGCTACAGTCAAGGTCAGGTTACAGCTGTACTTTCTTCTGTTATTTTTTATTAAGTCTTGTAGTATGTTCTTCTCACCAGTAGATGTCTCACTCCCTGTGCAATGTGTTCTAGTCCGTTATCTGTCAAAAGCTGTCAAAATCCGTATTTATTCCATAAAAAATAGAAAAAGGTAGAAAAAGAAAGGAATCCCCCCCCCCCGGAGTGATTATTTTTCATGATTCCAAGTCCAAATTTGGGAATAAAAAATCTTCTAGGTCTTTCCGTTTTAGTCTCCGCCCTTTCTTTTTTCCTCTATTAAATCCCCCGTCTGCCAGATAGCCGTTAATTTCCTCTCCGAGTCACTTTTTTAATCCAATTGTAAAATTTCTTTACCTTGGGTTGATCACTCTTTCACCCAGGTCCAACACTTTGTTCCAGCACTGCTCCTGCTCAAATAGCTTGGTCTGGTTGCCCCGACTTTGAAGCAGCCATTTGTGCGGCCGCTTCCACTGTCATTTTGAAGAACTTTATCTTGGACCTTTCGAGGAACTGTTGGTTCCTCTTTGGTCATTGAGATGTTTCTTCTTTTTCACCTGTTCCTCCAGAACGGTTCTGACCCGAAGGTCCCTGGATTGTCTGGTTGGGTTTTCGTGGAGCCTGTCAGAACTCTGCTATTTCCCAACCATCATGGTGCTTCTGGCTTCTCGATTCTATCACCTTTTCTGTAGGCTTCCTCTTTGGGTACAACACAGCTCCTTAGGTTTAGTGGTGAACCAAGGTTTATTGTTACTGTGTATTCACAAGTTTCTGGTCGGCACACAAAAAGTGACATATGATGTTACAGTATATATGAGTTCAATCAAATCTGCAGCGGTATCTTCGAACACATTCCAATCATTGCAGTCAAGGCAAGCCTGTAGCTTTAGCTTTGCTAAAGAATAATTCCTTCATTAGGGAGATCAACAGACAGAAATTTGCCAACAGCAAGAAGCCATGACACTATGGAAATACCTGGAAACTCTGTGAATGTCGATTCTTCCCATAGCTATTGCCAAATTCTGAAGCAGAATATCAGGGGAGCAGTGGGGGAGGAGGGGCAATGTAGAATATTAGCTTTCGGTCTTTTAGATCCAAGGATTTTTTTAAATTTCTTGAATGAGCTCAAAATCAGATTTCCTATTATCTTCTAGAGTTTGCATTAATAATCCACTATCTGTGAAACTACAGAGGATATTGGGGGGAAAAAATCTAGGTAGCAGAGATGCAAAAAAGACTGCTTTTTGGTCTTGATTATCACAATTAGGACTTTGTAAATGGTAGAAAATTATTACCTTTACTCTTCCCTCTTAGCCCATTTAAGACTGCTCTAAAAGTGGTTGATATACCACTTGATCAGCACCATATAGCACGGCAAATACAGAATTTCAAGCCACAGAATTGAACTTTGAACATACATAAGTAATTTTACACTTACATGTTATTAAGGCAGAATGATAATATCCACACGAGATCCAGAAAACAGGTTTCCCAACATCCACTTGATGAGGAACACATGTATTAGCTTCATTACCCAAGCCTATTTGGCCTTCAGAGTTGTCTCCCCACATAAAAAGTTGTCCATCCTCTTAAAAATAAGAAAAATTATTATTGTTTTAAAAAAAAACCAAATTATTTAAAGAAACAAAGTCTAAGGAAATGAGGCTATGGAGACTATAGAAGAAACTTGTGATACAGAGGGATAGAAAAGATTCAGAAACAATAGAAGTTCCCAGTTTATGTATTAACTCATAGTCAGTAAGTTACATTTGAAAGATAACTGTAAATTGTTTTCCATCTCTGAAATTATTTCTCTCTTACATCAATCAAAACTTAAATGAATTTTACAAAAAAAGGATACAATATTTAGAAGCATTTCTCTTATAACTAAAACACTGGGATGGTCACTTCATTAAGTTACTTATAATCTTGTGAAGATCCTACTACATACTACATAGCAGTATGGGAATACTCATACTGCTTTATGTGTGTCTGGAAAAAGAGTTCATTCAGCTTGGAAAACACTTTAAATGATTTGTTATTATTGTTGTTATTTGCATTTTAAAAGCCAGGTCAACACTTAAAGCAGAGATACATGTGTTAGCATACACAAATTATGCTAACATTATTGCTTCACATGCCTAATACAGTGACATCTTCTATATTATAGCAGGGTACAGTATTAGGGTTACACAGTGTCACACAAATTTAGGTGTGCTCATTGCAAATAATTCCAAAATAAGTAAACAGTGGGTCTAGGCAGCTGTGAAGGCAAACAAAATCCCAACAGGAAAAAGGAAGTTTGAATCCCGCTATAAAGGACTTCAGTCAGACCCCATTTAGAATACTGTGTTCAGTTCTGGAGATTCACTTAAAAATAAGATTGAGTGAGTCCAGAGACGGGCAACAAAAATGGTGTAAGGTTTGTGGCAGGAAGGCAGCTGACTTCGAGACGAAGGGGTGCAGATGAGTGGCAGCTCAGTGAAGTCCCACTGATTTCTTCGAGTCCGGGGGACCTACAGGGCCAAAAGTCACCCTGTAGGGGTGATGAAGGTAGAGGAGTTGCTTTGGTGGTTGCAAGGAGAGTGCAGTCTCCTCAACTGACCTGAAGAAAACCCCTTGAACTGGCAGAGGAGAAGATGGCTATTTTGGCTGAATCAAAGCCATGAAGGCAGCTGAAACGGAAGTGAAGAAAGGAAAGATCTGACTTCCGGGGAGTGGCCTGTCGCCGGTCGGCAGCTTAACAGAGCTGCCCCCAGAATTCAGGATCATTATCTACT